ATCTAAGGTCCCTAACCCTCAAGGGGCGTACAATCTAAGGTCCCTAACCCTCAAGGGGCGTACAATCTAAGGTCCCTAACCCTCAAGGGGCGTACAATCTAAGGTCCCTAACCCTCAAGGGGCGTACAATCTAAGGTCCCTAACCCTCAAGGGGCGTACAATCTAAGGTCCCTAACCCACATTCATACATACACATACTAGGGACAATGTAGACAGGAGCCAATTAACAAAATATATTTAAGAGAAATACAATAAATGTATCACTTCATAAATAAAATACAAATGTTATAAATAAAATAAATACCAATAATATCAAAATAAATATATGAATAAAAATAAACAAATACATAAAAATAAAATAATAAAAATACATAAATGAAACGAACAGAAAACCTACATCCATACAACTATACATAATTCTATACCCACAGTTACATATTCAAATAGTTAGGTTAAAAAAAAACATAAGTTCATCTAGTTCAATTAACAGAAAAAAAAAAATAAATAGAAAAATTCCATATATAGAATCGTATACCAACAGTTGATCCAGAAGAAGGCAAAAAATATTCAATAAAGTATGATCCTTGGTCTGTACACCTGCTGTGCCTATTGAGGGATTCCCACCATCCCTGTGCTGAGTTCCCGGGTCTGTACACCTGCTGTGCCGATTATGAGGGGTTCCCACCATCCCTGCGCTGAGTTCCCGGGTCTGTACACCTGCTGTGCCTATTATGAGTGGTTCCCACCATCCCTGTGCTGAGTTCCCGGGTCTGTATACCCGCTGTGCCTTTGGTGTTCTATTATTGGTTGCCTTTGGTGTTCTAGCTGCTTCGATAGAGATCGCTCGCTTCTTCTTTTATTATTTACTGCCCCCTCATACTGCCTCACTTACGCCTCATACCACCTCACCTCCCCCTCATACCGTCTCGCCTGCCCCTCATACCGTCTCGCCTGCCCCTCATACCGCCTCGCCTCCCCCTCATACCGTCTCGCCTGCCCCTCATACCACCTCGCCTCCCCCTCATACCGTCTCGCCTGCCCCTCATACCACCTCACCTCCCCCTCATACCATCTCGCCTGCCCCTCATACCGTCTTACCTACCCTCATACTACTTCACTTACCCTTCATACTGCCTCACTAATCCCTCATACCACCTAACCTACCCTACATGCTGCCTCACCTACCCCTCCTACTGCCTCACCTACCCCTCATAACGCCTCACTAATCCCTCATATAACCTCACCTACCCCTCATACTGCCCAGCCTACCCTTCATGCTGCTTCACTTTCCCCTCCTACTGCTTCACCTACCCCTTCAACCACCTAACCTACCCCTCCTACCACCTCACCTCCCCCTCATACCACCTCCCCTACCCCTCATACTGCCTCACCTCCCCCTCATACCACCTCCCCTACCCCTCATACTGCCTCACCTCCCCCTCATACCACCTCCCCTACCCCTCATACTGCCTCACCTCCCCCTCATACCACCTCACCTACCCCTCATACTGCCTCACCTCCCCCTCATACCACCTCACCTCCCCCTCACATCAATTCACCTACCCCTCACATCACTTCACCTACCCCTCAAACTGCCTCACCTCCCCCTCATACCACCTCACCTACCCCTCATACTGCCTCACCTCCCCCTCATACTGCCTCACCTACCCCTCATACTACCTCACCTCCCCCTCATACCACCTCACCTACCCCTCATACTGCCTCACCTCCCCCTCATACCACCTCACCTACCCCTCATACTGCCTCACCTCCCCCTCATACCACCTCACCTACCCCTCATACTGCCTCACCTCCCCCTCATACCACCTCACCTACCCCTCATACTGCCTCACCTCCCCCTCATACCACCTCACCTACCCCTCATACTGCCTCACCTCCCCCTCATACCACCTCACCTACCCCTCATACTGCCTCACCTCCCCCTCACATCAATTCACCTACCCCTCACATCACTTCACCTACCCCTCAAACTGCCTCACCTCCCCCTCATACCACCTCACCTACCCCTCATACTGCCTCACCTCCCCCTCATACCACCTCACCTACCCCTCATACTGCCTCACCTCCCCCTCACATCAATTCACCTACCCCTCACATCACTTCACCTACCCTTCAAACTGCCTCACCTCCCCCTCATACCACCTCACCTACCCCTCATACTGCATCACCTACCCCTCACATCACTTCACCTACCCCTCATACTGCCTCACCTCCCCCTATACCACCTCACCTACCCCTCATACTGCCTCACCTCCCACTCATACCACCTCACCTATCCCCCATACTGCCTCACCTCCCCCTCATATCACCTCACCTATCCCTCATACTGCCTCACCTCCCCCTCATATCACCTCACCTACCTCTCATATTGCCTCACCTACCCCTTTTCCACCTAACCTCCCCCTCATACCACCTCACCTACCCCTCATACTGCCTCACCTCCCCCTCACATAAATTCACCTACCCCTCACATCACTTCACCTACCCCTCAAACTGCCTCACCTCCCCCTCATACCACCTCACCTACCCCTCATACTGCCTCACCTCCCTCTCATACCACCTCACCTACCCCTCATACTGCCTCACCTACCCCTCATACTACCTCACCTCCCCCTCATACCACCTCACCTACCCCTCATACTGCCTCACCTCCCCCTCATACCACCTCACCTACCCCTCATACTGCCTCACCTCCCCCTCATACCACCTCACCTACCCCTCATACTGCCTCACCTCCCCCTCATACCACCTCACCTACCCCTCATACTGCCTCACCTCCCCCTCATACCACCTCACCTACCCCTCATACTGCCTCACCTCCCCCTCATACCACCTCACCTACCCCTCATACTGCCTCACCTACCCCTCACATCACTTCACCTACCCCTCCTACTGCCTCACCTCCCCCTCATACCACCTCACCTACCCCTCATACTGCCTCACCTCCCCCTCATACCACCTCACCTACCCCTCATACTGCCTCACCTCCCCCTCACATCACTTCACCTACCCCTCAAACTGCCTCACCTCCCCCCTCATACCACCTCACCTACCCCTCATACCACCTCACCTACCCCTCATACTGCATCACCTACCCCTCACATCACTTCACCTACCCCTCATACTGCCTCACCTCCCCCTCATACCACCTCACCTACCCCTCATACTGCCTCACCTACCACTCATATCACCTCACCTAACCCTTGTACCACCTCACCTACCCCTCATACTGCCTCACCTCCCCCTCATATCACCTCACTTATCCCTCATACTGCCTCACCTCCCCCTCATATCACCTCACCTACCTCTCATATTGCCTCACCTACCCCTTTTCCACCTAACCTCCCCCTCATACCACCTCACCTACCCCTCATACTGCCTCACCTCCCCCTCATATCACCTCACTTATCCCTCATACTGCCTCACCTCCCCCTCATATCACCTCACCTACCCCTCATACTGCCTCACCTCCCCCTCATACCACCTAACTCACCCCTTATACCGCCTCACCAACCCCTCATATCACCTCATTTACCCCTCATGCCATCTCACCTACTTCTCATACTGCCTCACATGCCCCTCATACAGCCTCACCTGCCCCTCATACAGCCTCACCTGCCCCTCATACAGCCTCACCTGCCCCCCATACTGCCTCACCTCCCCCTCATACCACCTCACCTCCCCCCCATACCATCTCACCTGCCCCACATACTGTCTCACCTACCCCTCATACTGCCTTCTCTCTTCCAGGTATAGCACCTCCCTCCAAAGGACATAAATTTCATTTGGGTGCAGCGTTGCATGACCACGCAATTGTCAGTTAAAGTAACACAGCGCCGTATCGCAAAAATGTTCTGGTCAGGAAGGGGGGGGGGAATCCCCTGGAGGGCGAGGGGTTAATGGAACAAGCTGAAGTGAGAAGCTGATTGGTTACTATGCACAGCTGTACTAGATTCTGAGTGCTCCAGTTTTGGTAAATCTCCCCCATATTATGGCTTCTGTGAATGGAGGAGGGGGGCAGAAATGGAATGCATAGTCAGCAATGAAAAGCATTCTATGAATGGAGGATGGGCAGATGAATGAAAGGTCCACCTCTTCCATTTATAAAGCACTTTTCATTAATGGAAGCTATAGTTCAGCTTGTGTAAATGGAGGGGGGGGGCGGAAAGGGTAGGCATAGTTGGTAATGAAAAGCACTCTATGAATGGAGGATGAGTGGATCAATGAAAGGTCCTCCTTCTCCATTCATACAGCACTTTTCATTGCTGGAAGACATAGTATGGCTTCTATGAATGGAGGAGGGGGGCAGAAAGGACATGCATAGTCAGCAATCAAAAGCATTCTATGAATGGAGGATGAGCAAATGAAAGAAAGGTCAACCTCTTCTATTCATAAAGCACTTTTCATTGATGGAATCTATAGCTCAGCTTCTGTAAATGGAGGAGGGGGCGGAAAGAGTAGGCATAGTTGGTAATGAAAAGCTCTCTATGAATGGAGGACAGGCAAATGAGTGAAAGGTTCAACTCCTCCATTCATAGAGCATTTTCCATTGATGGAAGCTATAGTCCAGCTTGTGAAAATAGAGGAGGGGGGATGAAGGGTAGGCATAGTTGGTAATGAAAAGTTCTCTGTGAATGTAGGAGGGGGCAAAGAGGGCAGTCATAGTTGGTAATAAAAAGCACTCTATGAATGGAGGACAGGCAAATGAGTAAAAGGTCCACCTCCTCCATTCATAGAGCATTTTCCATTGATGGAAGCTATAGCCCAGCTTCTGTAAATGGAGGAGGGAAGGAAAGGGTAGGCATAGTTGGTAATGAAAAACTCTATGAATGGAGGAAGGGGCAAAGAGGACGGGCATAGTTGATAATGAAAAGCACTTTATGAATGGAGGAGGGAGGCAGAAATGCTAGACATAGTTGGTAATGAAAAGAACCTTATGAATGGAGCAGGGAGCCAGAAAGGGTGGGCATAGTTGGCACCAGGGGTGGACTGACCATTTGGGCACTCGGGCACTGCCCTAGGGTCAGTAGGGGGCCCCATGAAATGCCCCTGGTACCTTTCATAGGCTTTTTTGGGTGTGGTTTGAGTGTGGGCGAGTACACAGGGGCCCCATGATCCCCTATTGCCCGAGGGCCCCATGAGTTGTCAGTCCCTGGTTGGCACACTCGACCAACACCTGTGACAGGTCCAGCAGCTCCATTAACCTCCACAGCACTGGGAGTGTACCGATGCGGGGATATGGGGAGGAGGGGGACAGACGACAGAAGATTTCAACTAAGCCAGCACAAGGGACAATTCTTACTGAAGACACGTACATCCCTGGTGCTGATTGTATCAGAAGATTACCTACACTTCGGCTTTAACGCCTTTATGTTCCTCTTTACTGAATTTCGAGGAATTGCAAATGACTTGATGGGCGGAAAGATTTCTCTGTCACTTTCTTGTCGGCATTTCACAGGGGTGATTCCGCTTGAGTTGGACACATGACTAATGAGGGCTCATCAAAACACGGCAATAATTACCCGCTGGACAAGCTTGACATAACGCTGATGTGTTTCCTGCTTCTGCTTGTCAGAGCTTCATAACTGCAATTCCTCAGAAGCCTCGTCATCTGACTGGAACTCCACAATACCGGCAAATCACGTCCTAATAACCACAGTGAACATCATTGGTATCCACCGGCTGCACCGTGGAGGTCATGATGAGGTCTGATGAAGACTTCTGTATGGGTCCAGTCACTCCAAGGTCACCTCCACTACGTAGAGAGGTGGACAAAGTAACACGAACACCAGGACTATCTTCATTTCATTTTTGCCGGTTACACTAACAAAGCAAACATTGGAACAACATTTCTCCTCCAGGTCAGTGGTTCTCAACCACCGGGCTATGGCCTCCCTTCTGGTGACTCCTCCAACATCCAGGGCTGTCACTCCAGGTTCAGGCTGGTCTGCCTAAGGAACCCCTGGTGAATGCCCACCATCACCGTACAACTACTATGGAAAGGACCAAGGTTGAAATTTGTTCCATGGGTGGACTGATCTGCACTCAAAAGGTCTGAAATAATTCCAAGCTCTCCTGTTGCTATGGTAGTACCACCAGTGACACCAATAGTTTGGAGGCCATTCTTCCCACTGGCCCACTATTCCACACAGACCAATGATTTGAAGGACACATTTATTTCCTAGAGTTCCCTATCCCACCGACATCAGTAGAGATGCCAGGCCAGGGAATATAAAGGAATGGGTGGAGGTACCAGACCTATGGTAATAGGATGAATGGAGGCATGAGGCCCAGGAAAATGGAAGGATGAGTGAAGCAGGATGGGGAGAGTGCAATCGCTGGGGTCAGGATTGTAAAGGGATAGTCAGTGGTGCCAGGCCCAGGGCAGCGGAGAAATGAGTGTACACACCAGGCCTGGTATGATGGAGGGATTAATGGAGACACCAGGCCTGAGCTAATGGGAGGGAGACCCCAGGCCTGGCATAATGGAGGCAAATGGGACCCCCCTGGCTTGGCATAATGGGAGGGGGAGACCCCCAGGCCTGGCATAATGGGAGGGGGAGACCCCCAGGCCTGGAGTAATGGCGGAATGAACTGAGATATAATGTGTTGTGCTAAACCTTTACAGATGATATCTGTATCGCCAACACGGATTGGTTTATGATGATATCGGATCTCAGGAAGAGACATTTTCACTTGTTTCCACATTTTAGATGAGACTTTTTATGAAGACTTTTTAAATATTTTTACTGTTTTTTCATAATTTATGCATGAATACGTGTTTGTTTTTTTCTTTTTCACTTTCACCACGGATTGGTTTTAGAATAGATCCTCTGTATAGGGTTCGCTTTCAGTTCTATCTACTAGAAGGGATATCTACTTTCATTACCATCCCCTCTCTCCTAGATTGTAAGCACGAAGGAGCAGGGCCCTCAATCCCCTCATGTTTTGCATTGTATTGGTATTGTTCTGTCACATGTTCTGTCCCCCTTTGTAATGTACAGCGCTGAGCGAACTATCGGCGCTTTATAAATACTGTATAATAATAATAATATTTGAGGGGCTATTCTTCCCTGAGGCAACCCTACCATTGACACCAACGATTTGAAGAACTAGTTTTCCTGGACTTCACCATTTCACTGATACCACAGATTTCAGGGCCATTCTTCTCTGGGCTCACTATTCTACTGAAACAAATGATTTGAGGGGCTATTCTTCCCTGAGGGCAACCCTACCATTGACACCAATGATTTGAAGAACTAATTTTCCTGGACTTCTCACTGACACCACAGATTTCAGGGCCATTCTTCTCTGGGGCTCACTATTCTACTGAAACAAAATTATTTGAGGGGCTATTCTTCCTCGAGGGCAACTTTCCCACTGACTTCAAAGATTTGGGGGCCATTCTCCACTGGGGCCCACTATTCTATTGACACTAATGATTGAAGAGGCTGTTGTCCCCTAGGGGCCACTGACACCAATGGTTTGAGGGGCCATTTCCAGACTGACACCAATGATTTGAAAGAATATTTTTCCTCTATGTGGTCCACATCCTACTGACACCAATGATTTGATGGGCTATTCTCCCCAGGGGGCCACTTTCCAACTAACACAAATTATTTGAGCGATGTTTCTTCCCTGAAGCCCTCTTTCGCACTGATACCAAAGATTTGAGGGCCATTCTCCATTGGGGCCCTCTATTCAACTGACAGCAATGATTGAGGTCCTATTATCCCCTGGGGACTACAATCACACTAATATACCACTCCCCCCCCCTTTATCTTCTGCTCTTTTCTTCATTCTTGTTCTCAATCTCCCCCCTTCCTCTCTCCCCCTTTTCTGCTCTATCTCCCTGTTCTATCTCTCTCCCCCTTTTCTGCTCTATCTCCCTGTTCTCTCTCTCTCTCTCTCCCCCTTTTCTGCTCTATCTCCCTGTTCTCTCTCTCTCCCCCTTTTCTGCTCTATCTCCCCGTTCTCTCTCTCTCCCCCTCCTCTCTTTCATGGTCCATCAAGGCTGTCCATTTTTTTTAATACTTTTTTTTGTTAACTTTTTTGTATACACTCACTGGCCACTTTATTAGATACACCCAGGGGCGGACTGACAACTCATGGGGCCCCCGGGCAATAGGGGATCATGTGGCCCCTGTGTCCTTGCCCAAACTCCAAAAAGCCTATGAAAAAGGTACCAGGGGCATCTCATGGGTCCCCCTACTGACCCCAGGCCCTCGGACAGTGCCCGAGTTTCCAAATGGTCAGTTCGCCCCTGGGTACACCTGTTCAATTGCTTGGTAACACAGATTGCTAATCAGCCAATCACATGTCAGCAACTCAATGCATTTAGGCATCTCGATGTGGTGAAGACGACTTGCTGAAGTTAAAACCGAGCACCTACATGGGGAAGAAAGGGGATTTAAGTGACTTTGAAGTTGGCATGGTTGGTGGCACCAGACAGGCTGGTCTGAGTATTTCAAAAACTGCTGATCTACTGATATTTTTACACACAACCATTTCTAGGGTTACAGAGAATGGTCCGGAAAAGAGAAAATATCCATTGGGCAGCAGTTGTGTGGAGGAAAATGCGTTGTTGATGCCCGAGGACAATTGGCAGACTGGTTCGAGATTATAGAAAGGCAACAGTAACTCAAAAAAACACTGGGCGCCACTCCTGCCAGCTAAGAACAGGAAGCAGAGGCTACAATTCGCACAGGCTCACCAAAACTGGACAACAGAAGAATGAAAAAACGTTGCCTGGTCTGATGAGTCTCAATTTCAGCTGCGACATTCAGATGGTAGGGTTAGAATTTGGTGTAAACAACATGAAATCATGGATCCATCCTGCCTCGTATTAACGAGGCTGGTGGTGGTGGTGTCATGGTGTGGTGGATCCATCCTGCCTTGTATCAATGGTTCAGGCTGGTGGTGGTGGTGTCATGGTGTGGTGGATCCAACCTGCCTTGTATCAATGATTCAGGCTGGTGGGGGTGGTGGTGTCATGGTGTGGGGGAGATTTTTCTGACACACTTTGGGCCCCTTTAGTACCGATTGAGCATTGTTTAAATGCCACGGCCTACCTGAGTATTGTTGCTGACCATGTCCATTATGACTCCAGTGTCCCCATCTTCTGATGTCTCCTTCCAGCAGGATGATGCCCCATGTCACAAAGCTCAAATCTTGTCCAACTGGTTTCTTGAACATGACAATAAGGTCACTGTACTCCAACAGCCTCCACAGTCACCAGATCTCCATCCAATAGGGCACCTTTGGGATGTGGTGGAATGGGAGATACACATCATGGATGTGCAACCGACAAATCTGCAGCAACTGAGTGATGCTATCATGTCAATATGGACCAAAATCTCTGAGGAACGTTTCCAACACTTTGTTGAATCTAAGCCATGAAGAATTAAAGTAGTTCTGAAGGCAAAAGGGGGTCCAACCCGGTACTAGCAAGGTGGACCTAATAAAGTGGTTGGCGAGTGTAGATCTCTGTTTGCCCCATGCATGTTTGAAGCAATTTACTGTTGACTGGCTCACTACCTCTGCTGGAAGTTTATTCCAAGCATCAACTACCCTTTCGGTAAAACTGTTTTTTCAAGATTAGTTTTATTATTTAACTTTATTCTGGTTAGTTTGAGGTCATCTCATTGTGCTCTTGATTTTGGTTTCATATTGAAAATCCTTTCCTCCTGAACCTTTTTCCCCACCTTGATGAATTTAAAGGATTCAGTCATGTCTCCCTTTTCCCTTCTTTCCTTCAGACTGTACATTTTAAGTTCCTGAAGTCTCCCCAGATATGTTTTACCCCCCAGACCTTTCACCACTTTTGTATCCCATCTCTGGGCTCGTTCTACCTTATCAAAATCTTTTTGTAAGTGAGTTCTCCAGAACTGGACTCAGTGTTCTAAATGGGGTCTTGCCAAAGATCTATATAAGAGAATCAGGACCTCCTTCCTTCTGCCGGTGACCCCTCTAGTGATATAAAGATCTATATAGAGGAATCAGGACCTCCTTCCTCCTGCTGGAGACCCCTCTAGTGATATAAAGATCTATATAGAGGAATCAGGACCTCCTTCCTCCTGCCGGTGACCCCTCTAGTGATATAAAGATCTATATAGAGGAATCAGGACCTCCTTCCTCCTGCCGGTGACCCCTCTA